AAAACTATGCCTGGCGAGGAAGGTGCCCTCTTTATAACTACGATCGACTCGAAGAGGACACGGAAGAGTACCACATAGGAGAAATGCAAACTGAATTATTCATCCGTTGTGGCCATCTCCTCTCCCCTTGGTGTCTTTGTGAGGACAGCACTGTTTACCTACGCAAAGGGACGGCTCCTCGGTCAAGCGCAACGTGGGCCAACGTGGCGTCCCTGTCCTGCTGCAGCAGTTTCTGTGCTTGTACAGAGGACGAAACAGCTTCAGGGGAAGGAAAAAATACTTTACGCTGAGTTTGGCTGGCGAAAAAAAAAAATGCTCACCGGGGTCATCTTCAAAGGGGACAGCGCCTCCTCCCCGTTCAGTCGTTTGTTTGCCTTTTTACGTCCTCTTCTCTGTTCATTCGCCTACTCGTTTGGTCATTTTATTTTTTATTTTTCTGGAGTTACGCAAGAATGCCTACCCACATGATGTATTATACTTCGCTTCGCCAACACTCGTGAAGAGGTGACTTTCCGCGATGGGGGAAATTGTGCAAAAAAAAGAGGAAAAAAAAAAAAAAAAAAAAAAAAAGAACTACGACATTTTTTGGTCAAACAAACACAGTTGATTAAATTGGGGCACAGTTTCTCAACATGTGGCCACACCACCACTCGTGGTGCGAATAGAAGAAGCAGCGGGGACAAATCCACATGCGTGCAAAAAAGGCGAAGCACCTAAAAAAAAAAAGGCATATACATATGAGCATACATATGAGCACACATATGAGCATTTTATAAAATTCGTGCATACAATTTTATGCTTTTATATTTGCCTTCCACTATGAAAATGTGGTGAGGAGTGCTTCCATGAATGAATCCCTGCGAGGAGTGAGACCCCTCCCCAACAGCACCTCAACCTCGCTACGGTGTAAAAAGAACGCCAAGGGTTTTTCACAGTGGCAAAAAAAAAAAAGGGGGCGATCAGATGGGGGAAAAAGCAGATGCGGAGCAGATGCGACGGAAAGCAAGCGGAACAGCTGGAGGATGTGCGCACCTGAAGAAGCGCGTCATCCACAAAAGTCCTGTCGCAAAGTGTATGCGGGAAGGGGACATGCACACACATAGATGAGACTTCCGCTGCCCAGTCCATCATGGCGAGAGGGCTAGATATTCTGAAGGCCAAGCTGCCCAAGGCCCCAACGGGAAGGAGGCCGATCGGCTATAGAGGTAACGAATGAGAAAGGAAGGGAGGTCCCACCTTTCCGCCGTAAGCCCAAGTACGGGGGGGACACGGACACAATGGGTGCTCTCGCTCGTGAAACATTATTCGTTTGGCGGTTCGCCTTTCACATTATGCCTGCTCCTTCGAGGGTTACGTGAAGAGGCGGGTTAGTTTATATCTACACGGTAGTGTGCCTTGTGTGGGGCGGCCTACCGGTGCACCCCTTCGTCCCCACACCCATTCCGTTTCACCATCCCGCCGCTTCCCTTTCGCAGGAAACCACCAGCACGGAAAATCGCTATACGACCCAGTTTACCCCACGACGAAGGTAAGCAGGGGTCGCTCCACGAACTGAATCGATCCGCGCCACAGGAGCAGTGCATGAGGGAAAAGCGCATGATAGACCACCACTGCACATGTGTCCTTACCCATTTGTTCTGCTTATCCCCCCCCCCCCCCCTCGAGCAGATCCCAGCGAGCCTCGTGCCGCGCTACCCGATAGACTGGCGAAACGGAGGCAGGTTCCTTTTATGTGTTGGTTTGAGGAGAATTGAGAATCGCATCATAACAAGGATGAAGCAGAGTCAGGATTTCAATCGACCCGAATGTAGGACATGTGGTCACGACTGCATAGCGACTTACAATCGCTGTTTATGTGCATGGTATTGTAAGCACAAATTTAAACACGTATATGAATGTGACGAGGTGTTGATGCAGTATAAGGGAGAAACTCAAACGGACAAGCCCCTCTTCAGTGTCCCCAGGTGGGTGGCCAACAGGAACTCCGAGGAGGGAGTCGAATATGAATTGAATGAGAAGACGGGTCGGTTTGAAAATGCTCAGGATGGAAAAGACATGTATAAGCTTTTTTATACAAAGCTGCGATACGGAGCTGACTCCACTGAACATGCAGTCGCAGGGGGGGGTGCGATTGGCGGTGGTGCAAATGGCAGCGGTGCGATGAGCACCCCTGCGGAGGAGGAGCAGCTCTCCGGGTCGGACTCCGACATGACGGACAGCGATGAGGAGCAGGAAGCATAGAAGCCCATCGCTTCTTCACCCCCTCCTGGCCAGCTCGCCCAACCTGTAGTCCAGCAGCGAAATGTCGTAGGGGTTGTAGTAGCAGCACCCGCCGAACCCACTAACACCGACATCGAGCCAATCCCCAACATAATTATACACGTGCTTGTCTCTGTTCTGAGTGACCTCAAAGTGCACGTCGTTTGTGGAGTAATCATACGTAACTCGATTAAGCGATTTGTTTGGTGAAGCAAAAAAATGAACATCCCCCAAATAGCTATTTTTTTTTAAGTCCTTTAAAATGGTCTTCACAAACCCCCTCAATTCTTCATTTGAACTTTCATAAGCTTCCATGTTGATGTTACCATCTGAGCCAATGCACCTCTTCAAGGGAGCAATCAACTCTCGCACGTAACGGATGTTTAAACAGTTGAGTCCGATAGCTTTAATAAAATGGTTCCTTGAATCTAAGTATAAAAGAATCAACGCCATGTCCACGAAGGAGTAGTCTGAGCAACCAATGTTCTGGTCACTGTTGCAGTAGAAGCTTATGACCACGTTTCGTCCAAAATAGCTTCCACAACTCTTTAAGTGGTTATAAAGGGTAAATACTTCTCGTATGTTAGAAGACGTGATTAGCGAAAATAGATGCAGCTTTTTTGCGTTTCTTTTGTATGATTCTATTTTAAATTTGCAGTTGGAAATTATTTCTTCGTCCCCTACATCTATGTAGTATTCCAGCCCGTAGTTGAACAGGTGTCTCTGCGCCAACGCGTCCCTCGAGGGTTCACAGGTGTCACTTCTGCCACTGCTGTCACTCGTCCACGTCCTATTTGTATTCCCCGCGGGGACCATTTCTATATCGGGCACTTCCTCCTGTCCGTGCAGGGGCGTCTTTATTATGATGTCGTACCGTTGTGTGTGCTGTTTAGTCGCCCTGCGCGGTTCAGCGGCCTTGCCCGAAGAAACCACTTCCGCGTCGCCTGAGTTGGCCATGGCCGCCTTTCTTCCCTTGTGCAGCACCCCAGAGTACTCGCTAAAATCACGGAAGGCCGAGCTGTACCCCCCAGTGGAAAAGGCCACGTAGTGGTCCTGGCACCTCCTGATGGGGCTTCCCCTCCACACTCCCTCATTCAAATGGAAGCTGTCCACGTACTCCCTTATGTTGACACAATCGTTTGGGTGAAGGATCCCTAAATGGTTTCTCACTTTGTTGAAGCATTCCACATGTTCATAAGGCGAAGAAGACTCCTCCTTTTGTATCCCCCCCAGGAGTGGAAAATTCTCACTCCGTTTTATCCCTTCATATTTGAGCAAAGCATTATGAGCAATGTCAATGTACGTATCGATTATACCTTGTCCCTCCTCTATGCTTATTCCTTTTTCGTGTAAACTGTGTAGGTTGACTTGGAAGGTGTTCGTACTTATCACGTTGCACCCTCCCAGGAGGTAACTCAAATGAATATTCTCCAACGTCCTCACCATCTCTTCCTTGTTCCCCTCATCGTCACAGGAAAGAAAGTCAAAATTCTTCAACCCCAGTCGTTCGAACTCAGATATTTTACCCCCATCGAGGGTGAACACCTCTTTCGCCATGACGTCCTCTCCCCCCGGTTCGTGTAAGTGTGTACCAGTACACTGCATATGAAACAGGTAGAAAAATGTTTTGGGGCGGGGAGGCGCTCTCCCTCTGTTTGAGGTAGCAGCTAATTTGGCAGCTCGAAGCTGTTTATAGGATGCACGACAAGCAGCAGCAGCGGTAGCAGCAGTAGCAGGAAGAAGAAAAAAAAAAAAACGCTTCTGCCCTTTGCACACACATCAATCACAGCAACAGTAAGAGGCCTCCAAAAAAATAATGCCCCACCTCGTGAATGGGTTCATAAGCCATTCGGCATGAACGAGCACATGCACCACACCCATATTCACCCTTGTGTTGCTCTCCTCGCGCAGTGGTATATCCATCGGGTGACGCACCAGGGGAGAGAGTGAATGCACAATTCAAAAAGTTCAAAACAGCAAAGTTTAAAATGTTCAATGTGGCGAAAAAAAGAGAAAAAACGCGTGGACACAATTGGGTACGCAAAAAAAAAAAAAAAAAAAAAAAAAAAAAAAAAAAAAACACTCAATGGGAGGATCTCGAAATTGGAGCGTACAAAAGGAGGGAACCAGGGGATTCTATTCTCCTCTTCTCCTCCGCCTCATATATAGGGCCCGTGGGATAAAGCGGCCAGGGTTTGGGTGAATGGAAAAGGAGTCCAGGGATTTCTAATCCGACTTTTGCGTTTGCTTGTATATCTCGACGTCTGCACGGGGGAAGAAATGGGGGTGCAAAATGGAGGTGCACGACAACTAGGTGTTCCAGTGCAGAACACATACGCACGTATGTACGCTCGTCCCTCCACCAGCCGCTAATCATTACCCACTGCCGAGTTCACAATGATCTCGTATATCCGGTTCATCTTGTGGGGCGAGAGGTAGAGGTTCTTTCCGCGCTTGAGTCGCGGGTCGACGTCTCCGTGTTTGTCCACGTAAGGGCCGCTGACAAGGCCGAAGCGGTGCTCACTCGCGAAGAGAACCTGAGGGGTGGGGAAGCGAAACGAGCGCAATGAGCGCGATGAAGCGGAAGTGAAAGGAGTCAAGTGGGGCTGGGTACAGGGTAGCAAGGTTGACCGCTTAGCCGCTTCGCAGCTTCGTCGCTCCGCCGCCGCTAACTTACCGATGACACGTTGAGGCACAGGTACAGGGCCTGGTCGCCGCCGCAGATGGTGGTGTGGTAGCCGCACTTGCCAATGGACTCGGAGAGGGGCACACGCACACTATCGCTCTCCTGAAGACATATGGTGGACCCACAAAAAAGACAAATGAGAAGTATTGTGGGAGATTTGCTACAATTAACACACTTGGTCTTGAAGTACCTCTTAATCATGGTGAAGTAATTTCTACTCGGTTGAAATAAAGAACTTGAAGAAATAAATTTTTCCATATTTTCATAAAAATGGTGAGGCAAAACGGGTTCTGCATCTATTTTCAGAATCTTATACATCTGATACATCTGGTAGAAGTAGGGATGGAAAATCAGCTGCAGGGTCTGGTATGTGTATATCTGATCAAAGTGAGGATTCACATTAAGCATGAGGAGAAAAATATTGTACTTCCCTAGGTCGCTGTGCAGGTGGATATAGTCTAAGTACTTCTTCGCCAATGCATTACAGTCGTAAATGGAAAATAACATATATGCCACGAAGTGGAGGTACACATTTGCTGACTTTACATAATTCTTCAGGCACCTCCTGTATATCTTGCTACAGGAATTCTTACCGTCTATGTAATGGTTACTCTTGAGGTAGTGGTAAAATATATAAAAGACCTTCTTCACGCTTAGCAGGTGCTCTCCGTTTAGGTCGGTGGGATGAAATGAGCGTCGGGTTGTCCCCCTACTTGAATGTGCCTTCGGGGTGGTACCCGAAAAACAATCGCGCGGTGAAGAGCTTCCCACACCACTTCGCATGCCACTTGGAGAGTCGCTCCACAAACCACTTGAACCTCCGTGGGGTGGCTTTGCTCCCTGGGAGTCCCCCCCTTTACCAAACAGATTAGTCATGGAGTCAGACTTGCCGCTACTGCTGTGCTGCGTTTTTATTTTTTTGTTAACGTCGTAGGAGGGGCCGTTGGAGCCCTTTTCGCTGCCCTTGCGATTGGCCTCGCCGGAGACTTCCCCGGGCACTACGCCGCACGTTTCCCCCGGTGTGGACTCCAAATGGGTGGCTGCCTCGGTTGCATCTTTGTACAATTCTTCCCCATCCGGTTTCCCCTCTGCGCTGTTCTTCTCCACGCCTGCCTCCTGTCCCCCACCGCGGCCATGACTTTTCACTTTGCTTCCCCCCCCATGAGCATGGTAACCATTAATGCGATCCCTATGCTTGGCATATTTCCTTCTCCACCGCTTCGTCTTAAAGAAAGATTCAGAGTACTTACTAAACTGGTACTCTCCATCCTCGGGGTGAGCTGAACCACCACACATATCATCAACATGGTAGTACTTCCTGGCCTCCTTATGCCCCGGGTGGAAGTGAAGAAGAATATTCTGCACCAAGTATAGCGGTAGGAAGTCGTAGAGGTTGAACACATAGCTATACATCCTCCTAATATGGTAAAAGAAATTTTTATTTAAACCATTAGCCTTCAACAACATGTGATACCTCTGTATTTTGTTCACACCTTTATATTTATAATAATCCATTTTACAATTTTTTAATTTATTTTTCATGCTGGCATATTTTTTTCTGGTCATGAAGTCTACGAACGAATCTGGGGGGTTATTTCTCTCATGTATCCTTCGTCTGAAGAGTGTGTTGTCGAGGTCGCTGCTGGACTCGTTTTCATCTTGCAGTGTGCGGAAGGCGAGGCTGCCTTGACTGTTGAAGGAAGAGTCGGAGGGGTTGGACGCGTCTGAGTAGGAATAGCATGCGCACGGTTCGCAGGACGGGTGGCAATCGCAGTGGCTTTCGCCACAGCTGCCATACCCATCGCTTCGTTCACTTGGTGCGTTTTCTCCCTTTTGTGTGGTGACACTTCCCCCTCTGTCCCGCTGCACCCCTCGAGAAATGTCCACTCGTTTCAAATCATGGGGGTCCACGAACACGTCGGTGGGGGGGTTGCCACTTGCCACTTGCGACGCTGATTTGTTGTCACCCTGTAGAGGGGTACCCACCGCAGAAGTGTAGGAGGTGGCGCCCGAAGATTTTCTCCCCCTGGCGGGGTTTGTTACTTGTCCTTTCTTCTCACTTCCATCGTGCCCTTTGCCCCCTATCCCCCCCTTCACCGATTTGTTAAAGAAATTCACAAACAGATCATCTGCGTATTTATTCTTCTTAATTTTCCTTCTTCGCTTTTTACTTTTCTTCATATCTTTTATGAGTTCCCCCACGTCTAGGATATCGTTGAGGACTCCAAGAGAGGAAGTCATCACAGCATCCCCTGTCACTCCACCTTCATCGTACCTCTCCTCCTCGTCACACTTGTGGCACTTGTCATTGGTATACTCCCGATCTGAACAATGAATGGACTCATTGCTGTTGAAGCTTGCATCAGAGAAATTTACTTCTGCTGGTACCCCATCTGCAATATCCTCACCTACTCGAGTTAAGAGAAATTGCTCACAGAAATTTTCTGCCTCTCGCTCCCTCCTATTATGGATATTCTTAATTTCCTTCAAAGTGAACAAATTATTATATGCATTGTACATGTAAAATAAGTGGTTGACGTATGGGACCTGTTCAAATTTTAATCTAAGTTGACTCACTAAATTTATGTGTTTGAATTCAAAATCGTGGTTCTTCATTGTGGGGTCGAATAAATTCTCTTGTGCGTCATTGGTCAGGTAAAAGTCGCTGATTTCTTCACTAGATATATTGTACAGTTTGTACTTGAAGAGGTTCAGCTCGTTTGGCAAATGAGATTCTTCCATATCATCGCTGGATCGGTTCGCATGTGATTTGCTCCTGGTTAATAATCCCTCTCGGGAGCTACTCATCGCTGCGCTCTGGTCTGATGCGCTTTGCTCTACTGCACTCTGGCCTACTGCGCCTTGCCCTACTGCACTGCGAGTTCCGCTTCCTAACAATTTGGACGGTGCCTCCTGTTCTTCGAATATGTGCCTCTTATACGTGTATTGCTGCCCGGCCTCGTTCTCCACCGTGTCCACGTCCGTGTGTCTATTCAGTGCATCTCCACTAGGGGGGGTCTCACTGCCCGTCTCCTTCGCGGCGCCACTTCCACACCCGCTGCTGCTACTGGCCAAGTAATTATAGTCCCTTTTCATGACAGTTTTGTTCTTCACGAGGGGCCCCTTCTTCTTGCTCTCCCTCACACCAGGAAGCCTATTCTCATATAGCACATGGAAGGATCCCCACTTGGAGTTCCTCCTTCTGTTGTATAAAAATGGGTAGTAGTTATTGAAAAACTGATTATACTTGGTAAAGTTGGTACTTAAAAATATATTTATGGGCATGCACCCATTAAAGTACACATGCTTCATATACTCATCGTTAACTTCACATAAGAGGAGCATGAATTTTTTTGTTTTTTTTTTGAATTCGTTAATTTGCACTAGCTTTTTCATCGTCTCGTACAAAATGAACAATTTTTCTGTCTTTTTCTTCTTCTTCCTATTCATTTCATCCTGATCAGTTTTCTCTAACCCACTGGATTGATTATCTTCTGTGTGCGTTCCCCCCCATGGGGGCCTTATTTTCTGCCTTGCTTGTTCAGGCGATTTGGGGACTTTTTCTTCTTCCTTTCCACGAGTGTAACTCATTTCATGTGTGAAGTGATCACACTCCGTTTCGCAATCCATAAGGATATCACTCTGCTGGATACAACTCTTCAACAATTTTATCTCTGCTTGGTTAAAATGATACGAGAGTTTCTTCACTCCCTGAAACAGCTCCATGGGATTTAGGTGGTCCATCCATTTGTCCCTTTTCCGCAGTGGCCATTCTTTTCCGCTGCTAGCGGCGCTACGGGAAGATATTTTTACGTTTGGGAGGCCATTTGGGTGGCCCATGTTCTGAGGAGGATTCTCATCATGCGCTGCCTCCTCGTCCGTCCCAACGAAATGGTCAAATATAAATGTATGAAACACTTGGTACTGTATCTTCCCCTCGTCATCAAACTTTTCTGTGTCGTCATTCTCGTCATCGTTTCGTTTGATGGAGGGTGGTGGGTTAACACAATTTTCGTAATCCAATATAGTCTCGCTTCTATCTCCACATGTGCTGTTGTCTCCACTCATAGGATAAGTTCCTTCTTCCAAATTGACACAAATATACTTGGATATGTTTTCAAAGTTTTGCCTGACTTGTTCAGGTGAAAATGATGAAAAAATATATCTGACGTAGGATTTTGAGATTTCTCTTATGAACACTTCATTCATAACTTGGAAGCTGATAATGATAAGCGAAATGGAGATAAAGTGTTGGATGTCTGCTGGGGTGTGGAGCAGTTGGTTGAGGAAGAAATGCATAAACAATCTTAAGACGTCTACGGACAGGGGTACCATGGCTAGCTTATTTAGCAGGTGTGCATTTTTTATCTTGTTGAAAAAACGTTTATAATTATGATCAGTGAATCGATAGGGGTACACATAATCGAATGAGACGTTGTACAAATTTTTCCACAGTTGTAAGTTGAATAAGTTGGAGATTTTTTTTTCTTTTACAATGTTCAGTTCATGTTTGTGAAGGAAAAAATTACGCACCAGTGTTTCGATCAGATTGTTACACGAGACGTAATTTATATTTTTGTAAAACAGGTGAACTAATATTTCGTTGTACAGTATCCAGTGAAGCTTGTCCATGTCTATTGCGGTGTTGATGTTTCTCCAGAATTTTATATTGAGGACGTCGCATTTTCTTTTTTTTTTTTTTTTCTTCTTCTTCTCTTCACTTGAGCATCCGTGGGTCTGCACACTGAAATCGCTCGTCGTTCCGATCGGTGAAGCGTTCCCTACTACGTTGGACACCACGTTTAGTAATGCGCTGGCCAACATATTTGACGAGATTCCCGCTGGTACCCCTGCTCCAAGCGCAACACCTGCTAAATCGACCGCTCCTGCGCCCCCTCTGCGGCGTTCCCTCTTGCACCTGGCGTAGTACCCTCGGTTGACGAAAAATAAATCTTCCCTCCTCAGCCTTCGAATTTCCTCCCTGTTTACAAACTCGATGCACTTCCAGTCTTGTAGGAAGTCCGGGTAAAGTTCCACCGTCTCATACATGCTCATCACATCCTTCACTCCCACTTCCTCAATGTCAACATCTTCGTAGTGGTCCTGATTCTTGTGGTTATACTCAAAGTCGATTAGCTTTTTATAATGCCTTGAATGATTTTGTAGAGTGGAGAACGTAGCATTATTATGGTGGAAGATTCTCCAGGACGTTTCCGTGATGAGTCCTAACTGAATGATGGACATCCTTAACGCTTTCATATCGAACACAGGTTCGAGCTTCTGCCCATGTAGGGTATCTTTGTACAACTCGTAGAATCTCTTGTTCGTACTTATGACTCCATCCCAGCTTCTACCCACGTTTAGGTGTCTCCTATAAGTGTTATGTCTTTTAAAATGCTTTGCTGTGCACCGGTACTGAAACTTTTGTGCGCTAGTCGATTGGTCGTCCTTTTCCCCCTCTTGTGCCTCGTCACCGTTTCTTCCGCCGTTTCTACACATGTTGCTGTTGCTATAGATGCTGCCGTTTCCGTGCGTGTCGTCCGCTCCTTCTCCGGAGAGTGTCCTTCTGCTGGTCCTTCTGCCGCTTCTCCTCTTTAGGCACTTCTCCTTCGTCCTTTCCTTGCCAAGAGCAGCGCCAATTCCATCACTCTTTGCTTCTATGGCAGATTCTGGTGCGTTACCAATCGTGGGATCAACACTTCTAAACATGTCTGCATCTACAGTAGAAGAAATATTCGCGTCAGTCGGGGGGATTTCCCCTGTGTGCGGTGTCCCATTACCTTCTCCCTTCTTATCATCCTCATTGGTATTTTCTATGTCTACCTTGCTACTGCGTGCACCGACGCAAGGTACATACTCTGGTAATGCACCCTGCACCAACTTGCCGTCCTGTTTTGTAGTAGGTTCCGAGTCAATCTTTGGCCTTTTCTCCATCTGATGATCATGCTGATCACTGTAATCACCTGACGTCTCCTCCTTTGGCTGATTCATTTGCCCATTGGATGAGCAGCTCTGGTTACTGCACGGCAGTTCGTACTTTTGAATAGCTTCTTCAATGTTAGATCCTTCGTTTTTCAAATTATTTTTTATAAACTCAAGGAGAGTTTTATCCAAGTGGTAATTTATTATGACCTCCACATTTTCCTTCGTACCAGATTCTTCTTTAACATCTACCCCTTCGCTACTATCATCTTCTACTGCCTTCTTCCCCTCCTCTGTCTTCTCAATCCGGGAGGTGAAATAAAATTGCTTGCACTCCCCTGGAGAGGACTGGGCCAAGTTATTATCCCTCACCATGAAAAATTCTACCTGCTTTATATACTTGAGGGGCACACTCACGTAGTAGGCCAAAAAGCCATTTCGGTAATTGTAAAAGTAATTGGAGTTCTTGTAGGAAAAGGTGAACTCCTTATTTCCATAGTTCATTGTGTTCTTGTGGAGATGCAACTCGGTGCCGCTTATCCCGAATGAGGTGACTTGCTCATGTGGGTTGCTACCACCCGATGAGGAGCGTTGTGAATCTTCCTCTTTGTTGTACAGCTCATCGTACATGCCACCCTCATTGAGATAAATTTCCCTCAAAATCATTTTCTTGTTGAGCTCGTAATTTTCGTAAGATAAGAACCCATTTAGAACCCGTTTACTCACCAATTTTTTAAAACGCACATTAAACATATCTCCGACTTTATTCTCATCATAGAGGTTGTAGGTGACGTTGTGGCTGGAGCTGTTCGGGACAAACTCTTTCTTCTCGTTTGTAAAGAATTTTGCATTGTCCATAGAACCATTCTTCTTTCCTTTACGCATATACTTGAAATGGAATTCTTCCGGGATGTCACTGTCGAGGGCTCCATTGGAAGACGTAGATGAAGAGAAGGATCGATCCGATGCGACCTCTGAATGGTCATCCATTTCCAGCTCGTCTGTACTACTGACCACACCTCCGTGACCAGTTTCAATTTTGTTTGAGGTGACCGCTTGGTCTGTGTCTGTAAACTTCGTAACCAGCTGCTCATCACCCAGCTCCTCCACCTTCCTTGTCCTCCTCAGAAGGTCAGCCAAATTTCTGTTTGAATGGTCCAGGAGCAACTCCCGCTCGCTGCAGTCATACACCCTGTAACTGTCCCCTTGAGACACATAGCGCTTGGGTATATAAACGACGAAGCAGTTAGCGATGGACCGACAAAGGGGACACGTGAACTCATACTTAGTTGGACTGGACGACTGCGATTGAGAATTCTTTGAAATAAAAATTTTTGTGTTGTGGAGACAAGTCATATGAATGAAATGTCCACATGTGTATATGGCTGGGTGTTTGCACGGGAAAGCAACTTTGTTTTTTTTTATAATTTTCTTCAGGAGGTTCGAATGGGACGCGAAGCAAATGTAGGCCAGCAAGTTGTTCCTCGTCATTCCCTCTTTGCAGAGTACACAGATGCAATTTTTTTCCTTTGACCTTTCGTATTCACAGTTGGCGACATCGTTCGCCTCTTCCGCGCCGTCCGCTTTGTCTCTCCTGGTGACTCGTCCCTCGTCCTTCCGTGACGTCGCGCCAACGGCGGCGAGATTAGCGGTGAGAATAGCGGCGGGATGAGCTGCAGGATCTGTAGTAGGGTCTTCACTAGGTCTGCTTATCGCTTCGCCTGCCGCTTGGGCTGCCGCTGCCCCCTCGCCGAAAATGTCCTCGTCCGAGTCCAACTCTTCCTCAAGGAACTGGCTGAACTTGAGTTGCTGGTCCTTCATCATTTGAAGCAGGTCCTGCTGCCTCTTCTTCGCTTCTTCAATGAACTGATTGGTGCTGCTCACATTTTTGCAGTCGTAGTTCTCGGATAGGAGCTCCTTCATTCTCGTAATGATGGTGTTCCTGACCTTTTGGAAGCACTTGTCTTCGTTGGCGTTGATGTTGCTCATAGTCCTCATGAGGTTATGCAGGGCCACCTTGTTCAGTGCGTACGTTTTTTTCTCCCCTTCCTTCTGCTGCGCGTTCGGCTCGGTTCCTCGGGGGGCGGCACCACCGCATGCAACACCACATTCACCTTCAACTATCCCACTAAACGCCCCGTCCTCATCTGTGCGACGCTGTCCCCTTCGTTTCCTCTTCAGAACATGCATATCATCATATATAAGGATCTGCTCGTTGTGAGGATTAGCCCCTTTGGAGGGTAGTACTGTCTTGGTCACGTCGCGATATGGTGTACCTCTTGCTTCCTTCTCCTTTGTGCTTTGTACCAGAGTGGAGTTTTCCTCATCTGGGTTCACTCCCTTGTGGGCCCCATCACAAGGATGGTGATTCCCCGTTGAGCTTTCCATTTCAGGCGTGTGGCTCTCTTTCTTCACAGCATCGCCGCTTCTCCCCTCGAGCCGCTGTTCACACTCATCTCCTGCGCTCAACGCGGCATCCAACGCGGCATCCAACGCGGCATCCAAATGGGCCTCCTCCAACAGGTCATCGAAGTCACCATCTGAGTGGCTGCCAAACGACTCACAGTTGGAATAGTAAAACCCATTGAGGTACTTAAACGGGTGAGTCGCGTCCATAATGATGTTCAGCAATTTAATAATTTTAATAAAAATGTCAATGGTACTATTGAGGCTGGTGTTACTGGGTGTGGAAGGGAAGGAACGTCGAGGTGGCACCCCGTCCACAGCACTCCCTCCCCCTGCCCTACCAGACACATTAATTCGTAAAGGGTTCACCGATTCGAAGGGAGGCATATTTAATTCTTCACTCGATGTGTACTCTTCCACTGAAATGTTATCGTCCAGGCTTCTGCCTCCTCGATCTCTCACTTGGTTCAAGTACCTTATCCCAGTCCTATTTTCAAGAATGGACTCCACAATCACATCGTTTATAACATTATTCTCACTTATAATATCACTTATGATTTCAGACAGTCCCTCTGCATTCAGCTGTCTGTAATTCCTGTTCGCTCCTCCCTCTGCTATGTGGCCATCCGTCACGTTCACGATTTCCATGTCAATTGAGTTGTGCAGATTTCTGCTAATTAATATTTCAGCGAAGAGCGTTTCGTTCTCTCCATTATCGTCAACGATTATGTACGTGTTGTTTCTTCGCGTGGCCGCGGCGTTGCTTCCTGGCGCGGCGTTGCTTGTAGCCGGCGCGTCACTTCCTTCCGCTGGGGCACTGCTTGTACCGGCGATAGCGTCGTTGCTTGCGCTGTCCTGCGGGTTGGCGCCCGTTAGACCGCTTTCCGCTTCGCCAGCTGGTACACCCTCGCCGCTTGCCTGGTCCTCCTGCCCAGCGCCGTTATCTCCTTCTTGGTTGAGCAAATTGTACAGGTCGACCTCGTTCAGCACGAAGGCCTGGGCAGGGAATTCCTCATGATCGGCGTCCTGCCCGTTCGCTTCGTTTTCCTCTTCGCTGGAGGCGCCATTCGCCTGTGCGGGCTCACTATTCTGCGGGGTTGCCTCCGCCTCCACATTTGCGGGCTCGCTATTCTGCGGGGTTGCCTCCGCCTCCACATTTGCGGGCTC